CTTGAGAAAGATACTTGGCTCAGGAGACTGCTTCACTTGCCTGGCAGGACTCAGCCAGTTGCTGAATTCCAATTTCCTAATGGCTTGAGGAGCATAGCCTAATTCCCTGGCTGGTTTCCCTCAACAGATTAATTTATGTATGCTCTTCTGTTCCTCTGAGAAAGCTCCTTAAATAGCAATGAAAGGAGCTTGTAGATTTCAGTGAGGCAGGGAGCCTACACTGGTCCACAGGGAAGGGAGGGAGGCTGCTGTCACCACTGGGACTCAGAAAGGCAGTCCCTGAGAGTCGGAAGCCACATGTGGAAGGCACAAGCTCGTGTTTCACTCTGGGAATTTCACTGGGCAGAATTTCTAGATTCACTCTCAGTCCCTAGTGTTCCCGGTCAGCAGACAAGCGAAGCAGGAAACAGCTGCCCAGAGAAGCACACATCAGAAGGTCTATCTATCCTTGGCACAGGCCAGTTGTCTCTAGGTCAGATAAGACCCTACTTTCAGAAGTTAACCCCTCTGGGGAGAGCCAGAGAACAACCATCAGGCAGGTCCAAGCAGATCCTCCATGCTCATCAGCCCTGGGTCCAGATGGTAAGGATGGAGAGACTCTACAGTCTCCCTCCCATCAGCTCTCACCCCAAGATGCAGCAGAATGTAGGGTTTCTCTGGCCTCCTGCTTTTATCCTGTAGTAGAAACTAGAGAAAATGCAAGTGAGCTTCTGTGGCAGGATCCCAGTCCCCAATGCCTCTGTTAAACACCCAATGCCCCTCCTCTGCCAGCTGTGCTGAATTTGAAGACAGATTTAGCACCACCCTGTTCCCTGACAGTGACAGACTTAGGTGTCCCCTAGCAGTCCCATGCCTGGGAACCTTGACCTTTGGTACCTCCTGAAGCAGTGTTCACTGGTTTCCTTTATCAAGTAGATCCAGACAGCAGCCATCCTCGCCAAGAGCTATTCTCTAAAGACTCCAAAGATGGAACTGCAGGATGGCACATACTTATCAACAAGCAGATGCTACTAGGTGCCCAGGGACCCATGCCCTTCCCAACTTTGAAGCAGCATCTATCCCTGAGGGCTTCCTTCTCCCAACAAGCTCCTGCCTCTTTTCTCTCTTATGCAGTCAAGCTCAAATGATGGTGAAAATTGGTTTGTCTCTACAATAGTTAGCATCCATGCCCCCTCTCAGGTGCACTTGGGCCTTCTGGGGATCCCTATTACCCCATCATGCTGGGGTGACTATCCATCTTTAGCTCCTATTGTGAGCAAGACACTGGGCGAATTAATGTTAAGAAGTATCTCCCTCATGGGTACAGAACCTTGTAGACATATAGTGCAGAACAGTATAGTACTGGGAATCCAGAGGACAGTGAAGCACAGAGCAAGAAGAAAGCCTTCACAGTCTGGAACTGCTCCAACTGAGGTTGCCTGGCAACAATGGTCAGTAGAGTGTAAGTTTCAAATGATCCACACTTTGCCAAGTTACCACCTATACTAAAACCATCTGTGTCGTGCTGTGTGCATGTCTGTGCCTATCTCTGTATGTGTGATATGTGTGTGTGTGTGTGTTTTATGCATGCAAATGTGCATGCATGTGGAAGCCATAGGTTGACATTTGGTGTCTTCCTCAATCACTTTCCCTATTTACTTATTCATTCATTTTGAGATAGAATCTCTAACTCAACCTGGAGCTCACCAATTCAGCTAGGCTTGTTGGCCACTGAGCTCCAGGGATCTGCCTGTCTCCACCTCTCCAGCACTGGGATTATAGACAAAAACCCATGGACTTGGCTTTTTACGTTGTTGCTGGGGGCCCAAGCTCAGGTCCCCATGATTGTGCAACACACAGTTTACCAACCGAGCCTTCACCCAGCTCCTCTCAGAAGTCATAGTTGCTGCCCATCACTTTTAGTTCCTTAAACAACCCTTAGTAAAACAGCTTTGTAATTTCAGTAACAAAGAGCCTGGGAGATAGACTAGGGTCAGTATGTTATGGGGACAAAAACCAAACAGGATGCAGAGACTGAGAAATACAGAGAAATGCCAGGCAGAGATTCCACAGACAATCCTGAGGGTCCAAACCCATGCTGAGAAGAATCTCACATGAACCATGCAGATGGAGCTCATCTGTTTCAAATCCTGGGAAATGAAGCATGTCGTGCCTTCTAAATGGGCCCCTTCCTCCACTCCTCCCATTCTCCCTGCTACCTGCCACCATCTTGCTTTTAGAATGTCTGTATCCTGTATTTGTGTGTGATTCAGGACCCACCATGACAGGACTCCCTGCTTCTTTGGGATCCTTTCTTGTTCTGATTTACTCCTTCCCTGATCCTGGCTGCTGCTATGCCCACACACCCTCCCTGACTTGCAGATTCTGCTCTCTGGCTGGCACACACCTCAGCAGCTTCCAAGGTTTTGTTCAAGCATGGCTTCCTGAGGCAAGATATTCCTCCCCTCCCCCATGCCACCTCAAGCCCCTCTGTCAAACAGACCACCCCCTCCTCTGTACCCACCCTGCCTTACACAGACTTGAATACTGTTGAATACTGACTCTCTTTAATGTGTGTGTGTGTGTGTGTGTGTGTGTGTGTGTGTGTGTGTGTATAAAGGACAGAAGACAGCCTCAGGTGGTATTTGCCAAGGTTTCTCACTGCACTGGATTTCTCCAAGTAGGCTAAACTGGATGACCAGCAGCCCCATGGATCTGCCTGTCCCTGCCTCCTCACCTCTGTGGTTACAAGTGCATACCACTATGCCCAACCTTTTTAATATGGGTCTAGAGCTCAAACTCAGATCAAGCACTCTCCTAACTGAGTCATCTTCCCAGCCTCTCACTTTATAATAGCTGAATGTCATATTATCCTCTGGACCTTTTTATGTTAGAGAACACATAGAAAATGATTGTGGTCATACCTATATAGTACATAGGCTGCATGTGGAGAGACTAATATCATGACACATATTTAACCCATTCAAAGCCTAAACATACCAGGCGAGAAGCTCTGCACAAAAGACCCTCTGTGATTATTGATTCAAAGAATACATCAATTAGAATATAGAATTAAGAGACTTCTAGAATGAGGCAAACGGAAGATCTCAGAAATCAATGAAGGAATGTCCACAGAGTAAAGACATAATTAAGATCAATTATGAGACCAAAAGAAGAGTGTGTGGGCTGCCTTCCTAGGCCAGGCATTCAAAACCCCCTTGTCCAGCATGGCCCTGGACTCGATCCCTGACCTGACCCTCCTTCACTGCCAAACTGCACCGGCCTCTACTTGCATTGGCTTCTTTCCCCAACATACAACCACTCATGCCATCTCTAGGAACACAGCTGCCAACCAGGTGCACCTGTAGGTCACTTCCACTGAAGTACTGGGCAGGTGTGGTCTCCCTCAGCACCCGTAGGTACCTATTATCACATTCTTGGTTATTTTCTGTCTTCCATTCTTTTAATGAGGTAAAAATAAATTCATGTGGTCAAACCAGAATCTTTCCCCTCCTTACCCATAGTAAGTATTCTGTAAATAGATTACATTAAACAATAGTTACTATGTGACTGTGAAGAAACCAGGTTAATGGGGGGGGGGGCAGAACTGTCTGTTGTGAAGGCCAGTGTCTTAGCCCACTGGATATTTGCAAGAAGGAAATGCCCCTTTTAGGAAAGCCTAAGCAAACGCTTTTGTTATTTTCAGGATTCATAAATCAGATGATCCTGTTCCAAACAAAGCCAGACCCAGTGTCCTCAAACCCGTTATTTAACTGTAACATCATAAGGTTTGCCTGCAGGTTTGGAAATGGGCCAGAGGGATAAATGGAGAGAAGCACAGGTGAGATGTATGTGAGCAGAGGGTCCAGTTCTGAGCAGAAGGAACCAGGTCCTGGTGGACTGCAATGCAAGAACCCAGCTGGGCAGTGCTGGTGTGTGCAGCACTGTGAGGCGCTAAGGGTGAGACTATCCACCCTACCAAACAAACTCAGGATTGGTTAGGAGCCAACAGTTCCCCCATTCTGAACCTATCTCCTGAAAGGCAAAACAGAAAAAAGAACCAGTAGCTCCTCCGAGCACGTAAATAAAACGCTGGCCTCCCCACAGCCCCTCAACTGTGGAAGATACACGGTCCTGTGCCAGAGGCAACCTCTGGGATCCTGTCTTGGTGCTGAGAAGCTGTTTTCTCCTAATTGAACCATCCTTCCTGGAAGGAGGGTCATAAGACTAGGGAAGCCCAACGAAGTTAAAAGGCTCGGGATGCTCAGAAAGTTACAAGATTCCCAAGGCCCTCTCCAAGGTGATAAAAGCAACAAGCAGTGGCAGCGATAGACACCAGTGGAGCTTCAGCATCTATGAGTCACTGCTCATGCTGAGGTGGGCTTTTTGTTGATACAGCTACAGTTGAGTCACACATGCTTCTGCAAGTAACTCCAGCAAACTCATTGGCTCACCAAGCTAGACTTAGGTAGGATTGTTTCTTTAGTCTGTCATCAGTGCTGTTTCTGGGGTGAATAGATGTTTGTTCATGTCGCCCCAGGAAAAGTTACAAGATACCTGGGAAATCACACGTGCTGGAATCCAGTCCCATGCTGATGTGATCTGAACTTGTCTGTGTGTCTCATCCTCATCACTTCTGTCTCCATTCATACTCCTGGTATTCACGGGGAGCGGGGGGGCACACAGCAAGGTCCTTTTGGAGGGAAACTTAAATCCTGCCTACTGCCTACATTCTTTCTGCATTTCAAGGGATTCTTATCTCCATTCACCTGCTCAGCCAGGCCTTCCTGCTTTTTTGCTAATCCATTGGGTACATTCACATGTAGACTTTAAGGAATAGGATTTCCTATCACAACGAGGAGCTAGCTGCATCTCCTCCATCTCAGAAGTGGCTCCTCAAATGCTTTACTGCTAAGACATTGCTGGAAGTTTCCAGCGAGTGACAGTGTGTTTCATGCTGTATTTAACAATGAATCCCAGCGTGTCTCCTGACTAATGGCATATGCCCTCTCCCCACACAGGCACAGAGGGTACACAAGAAGTTCCCAAAACCCAGCAGAGCACACCACTCCTCCGAGAAGAAACCTCAGTCTACCCTTTCAACAAGCATCACTGCACCAAGCAATGCACAGGGCAGCAGCCAGCCATCCCAACATGACAGCCCATTCCTCGGGCCCAGTCGGACAGCCCAGCTTCCTGGGCACAAGCAGGAATGTGCCCAGCAAGTGAGCAGCACCCCCAGCCCTCTTTGTTCCTTCCAGAGAAGCAAGTCCTTGTTTTGTTTGCCCAGTGAAGCTCCCTCCCCAGCCTCCACAGTTGAACCACAGTGGTTTCAGAACACAGGGTCCTGGGGACAGAGGGCATTGAAGTGGAGAACCAGTCACCTCCTGTCCATTGATGACTTAGAGGGGGCCCAGGAGACAGATGTGGACACGGGCCTGCGACTATCCTCCTCCGACCTGTCTGTGGTCTCTGCATATTCAGCACCCAGTAGGTTCTGCAGCGCAGTGGAGACATCGCTCGCCTCTGAGAGCTGCAGCAGCAGCCACTGGCCAGCACACAAGGGTCCCAGGGAAGGACCACTGCCTGTGGCCAGCAAGGCAATCCCAGACACCTCCTGGCTTTCCCATCCTTTCCTCACCAAAGGTTCTCCCAGCTCCTCAGAGACAGCTGTCACTGCTCCCTCAGCTTCCAGTGCCTCATTACTCACAGAGTCATCCCCACAGCTCCCCTGTGATGCTTCCAAAGCCACACAAGCTAGCCAAGCCCTGTCACTACCCCCAGCGATAGGTGGTCCTGAGGATGATGACATGGAGGAGTTCTTCATCTAAGCGTGTCTTAGTTCCCAGACACAAACTCAGATACTGAGACTCAGGTTCTCCGTTCACAGGATGACCTTAGCCCTGCTCCTTAGCTTTGTCTGGAACTTAGTTATCTGTCTTCTGAGGAGGATTGTTAACAAATTGGCCATGCCTCCTGTCCTTAGCTGACAGGTGGCCTATTTCTAAAAGCTTGGAGAAAAAAATACTGACATTTTTATGCAAATAAATTCTCAACATAAAATTCTTGTACAAAATCTATTTTTTGAATGCTCAACTCAATTATACAATTTAAATGCTTCACATAATTATTTGAAATGAAAAGAAAAACCACTCAGCCAGAGCTAACGTGACAATTTTTCATGCTGTGAAAGTAAAAATAATTAAAGCCAAAATGTTGAATGTGAAAAGGATACTAAGTGACTTCTATGAGAGCTCAGTGCATGACACCAGAATGCACACTGTCCTGGATTGCCCACAGAGCGACAAGACTAGGGATCTGGAATCTTCAAGTCCTGCTTCTAGCAGATGAGTCCGCTTCCTGGGAGAGCTTCAACCTGCATCAGACAGCAGAATGTCTCACTTTAAAGCATTTCAGCACTTGAAAAGCTGGGTTTACACACAAGTGGCTCATTTGCCTTGTAAGGATTTAACATGCATAACAGATGCCTGCCACATTTACAACATGATTTGAGGTCTGAAACCTGGGTTTGCACACCCCTTTTCCACAGCACATTCCTAGTAGCAAGCTGGGCCTGCAGATCATCCCTTCTGGGTTGGTTTCCATAGGGAAATTGCCTGAAATTACAGAGTAACAGGCTGTAAGGTGTGATAGGTAGACAAATGTACCATTCTTTGACTTTTAAAAAGCACAACTTAAAGGCTGCATATATCTCAAGC